TTGTAAAGGCCCTGATGGAGTATGCTTGGCATGTCTGAGGAAATATCAAGAAGCCCAATGTGGCTGGGGCAGAGTGAGCCTGGGGAAGTGAAGTCAGCAAAACAGACTGTGATAAAGAGTTTGGATGAAGTATGTTGAGAAGCTACTGGAAGATTTTAAGCAATAAAGTGACACGATTGACTTATCCTTCAAAAGATCCTTTTTTACAGTTGTGTGGAGAGGAAACTATGCCTGGGCAAAAATGGAAGCATGGTGATTAGTTTTAGGAAGCTGGCAGAGGGAAGAGATGAGAATGGTTGGATTCAGGATATTTCTTGAAGGTAACCCAGAGGAAGTACTGATAGATTAGTTAGAGCAAGAGAAAGGCAGGAGTCTAGAATGACTCACAGGTTTTTTTAATGCCTGAGCTGGTAGAAGAATGGAACTACTATTTTACTGAGATGAGGAAAGGTATGAGAGAAACAGATTTGGGAAGGATACCAAGATTTCAAGTTTTGGTATGTTGAGGTTTCTGTTAGATATCAAAGTGGGTACACTGAAGAAATAGCATGATAAATGAGTCTAAAGTTAAGGAAAAAGATCTGGTGGAACTGAAGGAGTGGTTTTTATTGAAAAGATAATAGAGTTAATGGATTGGTAATATCGGGATCAAGAGTACTAGAGGTCAGATAATGGATTAATTGAAACAGATTTGGGGAGTAGTGCAATAATTGATCTTAAGTTTTACAGTGGGTGCTGTTGAAGTAAAGGCAACCTACTAAGAACATTTTCATCACTGTGGGCTTTGCTTAAATCCTACAAATGTTTTGAACTTCTATGTGAAAATCAGTGGATGTGGTCAAGGGAGTGTTAATCCTGCTGTTTGAACAGGTCTTGGCTATGAGGGATACAAAGATTCCTAAAATGAGGTTCTTGCCACCAAGGAGTTTATAATCTAGCAGATTATAGTTTAGTTTATTACACATAAAAAGATAAATAATTTGTGTTGGAGGTCCTGAAAACCACCTCCAGGTTTGGTGATTTGCTAGGTGAACTTGGCATATAGTTGTGCTTAACGGTTATTATTTGGTACAGCAAAAGGATAAAAAGCAAATTTGGTAGCGAAAAAGTACACGGGCTAAGTCCAGAGAAAATCAGCACAAGCTTTCCAGAGTCCTCTCCCAGTGGGTTCACAGAGGTGCTTAATTCCTCCAGCAACGAGTTGTCACAAATATATGAAATGTTTGCTACTGGGGATGCTCAGTAAAGACTTAGTGCCCGAGATTTTTATCAGGGGTGGTCCCATAGGTACCCTCTGCCTGGCAAGTACTAACATTCCAGACTCCCGGAAGGGAAGCAAATATTCAGCATAAACCATATTTTTTGCATAAGCAGTTTAAATCACGCTGAGCCATGCTTGTCAGTTAGGAAGTGCTGGGAACCCTCCTGAAATTCAAGTTACCAGGGCTGACTTTGCAAGGCCCGTCTAGGAATAGTATTCTTATGCCTCCTATGCTAAAACTCTTCCATGCACAATACGAAACATTCATTGTTTAGGAAAAATTGTCATTTCTTTTAATAAAGTGATCTTGAAAAATTGGTAGATCGTAGCATTTACATACGTAAATTCTGTTGACTGTGAGGCATTTAGATCAGTAAGTGAGAGACTAGTACAAATACGGCACGTCTGTGAGTTTGTTGCTATGAATTATTGAATCATTGGGATCCTTGATTGATAGCAGCAAGTACTATTTATTGTGCTGCAGCCCTTTTTCGATTTTGGAGTTGGACCTGAATTCAAATTATGATTCCTCCGCTTGGGATAGATTACTTTGTCAAGTTTCTCACTTGAACATGATTACCGATACCTCTACCTCTTTGAGTTTCTGTAAGGTTTAAATGTGATTGGCATAGTAGGTGGCATATAGTTAGTATTGAAATGTTAAGTACTACTGTTACTGCTCTGGGGAACTCACTTTTCTGCCCCAGGTTGCCTGAAACACTGCAGTACTATGGTAGATGAATGCATAAATATATGGGTAAATAAAAGCCTAACGGAGCTTGGATACATGTGCTAGAACTGTGAAACTTTATCAAAAAAGACTTATGTAACACTCCTGAAATAGATGTTGGGTTTCTGATAAATCTGGGAGTCACAAAAGTGGAGGAATGCTTGTAGATCAAATAGTACGAATTCCTTCATCTGATGGAAGAAGAAACTGAAATCTATTGTGCAGAAAAACTACATGACTTGCCCCCAGCCTGCTTGTACTACACACGTGGCACCAGTGCCCTTTTGTATCTATGAAGAAACCTTTATTGAGCAGTTGCTGTGAAGCAGGAATGGTATGAGGTAGGACCAGGACTAGGGTGAGGCAAGTGAGGCACTAGAGTGGAAATTTAAAGGCATTTGGTCTCAGGGTTTATGAGTTAAGGCTCTATTCACATGACCCCGAGAGTGAGTACCTCCTGAAACTTCCAACCAAAGCCAACCCAAAGCCTCAACAAAACACCAAACCCGGTGGTAAGCAATGGGAAATTAAAAAATGGGAAAAAAACAAACAAGTCCCTCGGTGGCCCAAAGAAATGGCAAGCCTTTGGAAGGGAAAGAAAAAAAAAAAGAAACAGTCAGATGTGTGATGAACAAACATCATCAAAGGATCGAGCGAGCACTACCCTAAGACATAGGAATTAGTGAAAGCTTCCTGAAGTATGTGAATCAGGAGTTAAGCAATTAGGATGACTATTTCAAGCAAAAGTAGCATGTGCAGAGATCTGGAACTAAGAGCTTGATCTTCTCTTTATGTTTTTCTTCAGTGTACCTCAGAATTATCTGAAGGGCTTGTTAAAACACAGATTAATGGGCCTGACTCTGGGAGAGTTTCTGATTCAGTAGGTCTGAGGTGGGGCCTGAGAATTTACATTTCAAACAAATTCCCAGATGATGCTGATCTTGCTGGTCTAGGGATTGCCTCTTGGGAACAAATGCTTTAGAGAAACTGCAGATAGTTCAGTACTGCTGGCCTTTTTTGGTTTGTTTGGAGGGTGCTGTTGAGAGTTATGATTAATGAAATAAGCAAACTCTAGATGTAGAAATAAATTGATGTTAAAAGTATTTGGACTCAATCCTGAAGTATAAATAATCACTAAAACATTTTAAATAGGGTTGTAATTTAATTTTTGTTTTCCAAAGATGATTCTTGTAGCAGTATGAAAAATGGATAGAAGAGCAAGGCCAGAGAAGGGAGCCTCTTAACGAATTTCCCCTTCTCTAGCCTTGTTCTTCAATCCAGATAAATGTTGAGGGTCTCTGTTAATGACAGGTGGGAGAGCTTGAAAGAAGTAGATTTGAGAGACATTAAAAAAGGAAAACTGATAGGATTTAGGGATTGATTGTGGGTAGGAGCGGGAGTCTTGGATGACGCAGATTTCTGATTTAGGTATCTGGATAGATAGCTATATTTTTCATTAGGATAGGGAATAAAGTGTAAGAGGCAGATTTAGGGGAAAGTGGTAGGTGGATATTATAGGTATCAGCATATAGATAATAATTAAAGCTGTGGGTAGATAGGTCCCTCAGAAAAAGTATATAGAGTAAAAAGCTAAAGGTGGAACCTTGGGGAATACCAGGATCTTAAGGATGGCCAGAAGAGTAGTAGGCAGAGCCAGAGAGTGGTTTTAGAAGCTTCTGACAAATTTAAAGGGTCTGGTTCATGTATCTATAAATTGAAGAGCTGCATTGTTTAAAGAATGTAATTTGGAAACAAATTTAGTCTATGAGATTGGGGTGTGTGTATGTGTTTGTATGTAAATATAAAGGGTGTGGGTATTTCAGTGTTCCAGATCATCTGGACAAATACTGTACTGACTTTAGGTTATCA